TTCCACTTTTATTGAACTCTTTTGATGCCTTACTAGCTGAGGCTGGCCTCAACTTCACAGAGATCCGCCTGCCTCTGCCTCCTGAGCGCAGGGATTAAAGGTGTACGCCACAATGCCTGGCTCTCTTTTGCTGCTCTTCTGTCATTTCAGTTATTATTTTTTTTATTGTGTTTTTCATTCACCAAATGGTGTCCTTTATGTTTTCTGCCTGTTTGCTAGAATTCTCATTTTCCCTACTGTATTGGTTTCTTAATTCCAAAACCAGGGAATTCCCATCTCTTATTTCTTTGGGGTTGCTCTGCACATACACTTTCTTAGCTTGGAGACATGCTTTTCTGTTTCTCATGTGACTCATAACTACGAATTAGGATTGAGGCATTTGAGAGAGTGCTCGCTAGAAACTGGGAGAAACATGGAAGAAAGGAGAATGGGGTGAAGACCTCTCGGGGCAAAGCAGAGCGGAGGAATCACTTCTGGTTTGCCCAGGACAGTTACCAACAGTTAAGATACTTCAAAATGACCGAAGAGTATAAAATTATCAACACATAAGAACAGTTGAAGAGACAGACATGTCCATTACTCTGATTATTACACATGGCACATGTGTGTTGAATTACAACAAAGCATCTACTCTTGTCCCAATGTTTGCATGGGGTCTTCCTATGAGAGAATACACTCAGTGTTAAACCCAGCTATATGGGATGAGGTGGGGTGGGGCACGCTTAAACCTTGGATTAGGGAAATATAACTTCTCTGTGGCTTTAATTTCTCAATTAGACATGCTTGCTAGGTTCCTTTTTCAGGCGTTTGTAATATCTTGCTCCCTCTGGTGTCTGTCTTCTGTATTGTAAGTGGTTTTCTGTTTTTATTTTTCTGAAACAAACTCCCACACAATGCTGGATCAGCCTTGGATTTACCACATACCTGGGGATGTCCCGACCTCCTGATACTCTCTACCTTCTGAGTGCTGGGATCACAGGTGTGCACCACTATGCCCAGATGTGTGGCATGCTCTTGGGCTGTACAATCACCCCCTTTCCCCAGTGGCTGCCAGACTTCTAAAGTCCGTCAGCTTCCTGCCTGTACTGTCAGGACAAACAGCCCAAAGCAGCTTCCCAGAAAGTCCTCCAGAAGCTTGAGTGCTACCCATACAGCCTGTTTCTGTTCTGTCCTGAGAGGAGCATTTTTGTTTACCTGGTACACACCACCTTCTTGGACTATGGAATTCTCAGGAGCTCTTCTGTCCTGTGTACTAGGAAATCACTTCCCACAAGGGGACAAGGAACAAGGGATGGACTTGTCATTTTACCATCTTATGATGTCGCCATCCAGTTTTAACTGGGTAGAGGAAGGATTATAAAAATTAAAACCCAACATGGTTGGTTTATATAAATTATGAATAGTAGAAAATACACTGCTTGCGAGTCATTCAAACTGGGATCAGTTTTTACTGCTGAAGGCCCAGAGAACATGCTCATGTTGACAGGAAAAAAGGGATATTAACGATCTTTCTCACTTGTTATCAGGCTTGTGATTTAGGAGATAATAAAGCATTCCCACCCCGATGTTTCTAGTTAGGTTTCCAATTCTCCTACATCAGCTTTGGTATTAGGTTCTTACACAGCTCTGGCTGAATGGCTTCTGGAACCCTCCCGCCCCCCCAAACCACATCTCTTTATGAAATTCTCACACTGGAACCCTGTCAAAAGGTAGGCGGCCAGCAGCACCTACATCCATTTACTACTGAAGGCATGCTGCGAAGTCAGGCTTCGGGGAAGGAATGTGACTGAGCAGTGTTAGCAGTATCTTTAAGGATGCTGAAGTCTGGCTCCTTATGAACCGTGAATGAGGTGCGGAGAAGTCTAACCAGATGACTCATGTTAACACTTTGCTCTGGGTATTTTCTTGTTGATACTTTAACTTTAAAAAAAAAAATCCTGGTTTTCCCATTCAAATTGAGTATTTTCATCAAGTCCTTTGCTCTCACCACTCACCACTACCAAACATGTTGGTCATAAGACCATATCCTTCACCTTCCTCCCTACACAACCATGACAGAGACAGACTACAGCTGTTCCTGAAGGCCCATGCCCTTCGAGTGTGGTCAGCCCACTTCTCTTCTTTCTCTACTTGAGATTCATGATGGATTATGTAACTCATGCAGGCGCACTGGACGAAGAGCCCTCTGTAACACAGGATTGATCAAATCCCTCTCATAATTCATTTCATCTCCCTTCCTACTCTAGGGTAGGATGTCCCACGGTTCCATTTCACACTGAAATCACTTGTTTACCGTTACATTCATTTCAGGAGGTTTTTGTGAGCAGCAGTAGTAGAAAACATACTAGTTGTATCTTCCCAGTCCTCATGGGATGCTTCAACTAGCACACACTAGCAGCAGTCCTCATATATTCAGGTTGAACAATCGTCCTGTGCAATGAAGGCTAAGGCATGGGAGAATTTGTGAGCTACTTCTAAAGTATTTGTACTTCCTGAAAGTGCCCTTCAAGGAAAGGAATTTAAACTTAAATATTTTTATTGAAAACTTCATGTGTACAATGTATTTTGATCACATTCAGCATCACTTCCCTATTGCCTGGCTCATCTATCCCCTACTTTTCCTCCCCTCTATTCTGTATTTCTAAAAAGTAGCCCACTGAGTCCAATTTGTGCTGCACCTATACTCATGGCTCTGGCCTCCACTGGAGCCTGACTTAGCAGAGGCCATACTCCTATAGAAAACGGACTCTGTCTCCCTGCAGCAGCCACCTCTCCCCCCCTCCACGCTTGATCTTGTGCAAAACCTAACTTAATAATGATAACACTAAGGATTTCCCAGAAGTTGACTAAATGAGAGAACTGGGAGGAGTAAGTGGCTTTATGTCTTCAGCTTTCCCTACACCCTGCCCAGCACTAGGGCTGTCCAAATGGAACACTGGAAAATGCCCCTGGGCTGGCTGCGCGTCTTCGCCCTGTGAAGGCATCTAACGTCAGCATTTCCACAAATACAAAGAAACCACAGAGTACAAGAGAGCCAGGCTTACATTAGACCTCATGAAACAAGGGTTGGAAGAGTTGGCGCCAGTGCAAACATCAGAACGCATTTTGTAATTGGCTTGGCTAATTACCTATGTTCTGCAGACCGAGCTGCCAGGGCAGAGCTGTTGTGTGCGTGCGCCACCTACACACAGACAAGTTCTGAGCATACAAGCGATGAGGATTAAGCACTGCTCATAGCACCACCAGAACCGGCAGGTCTGCAGGACGCAAGACGACAGTACCAACAACAGTGGGAAAAGTGTCTACGAGAGCGTGCACGCCAACTGCTAAATGCCAGTTCCAAAAAAAGGGCCAGTGTTAGCCAGGAGCTCACATCGAGCCCCCATCAACACTTCCAGATTACAAATGCTTTCCTTCACAGCCAGGTCGGCCAGAGAAATCAGGCAATTTTGACAGTACTTTACAAACTGATTAATCAGAAGTGCTCCTCGCCCCCGTAACCACTAAATGCCACACAAAGGCTCTCCTAATCTGCACAGTGGCGGGACGTTAGCTGCAGATGTTCTGTCACCATGGCTGTAACCTGCATGTTGATGGAAAGTTGACATAACGTGCAGATGTGAAATCAACTGGCTGATGACGAGAAGCGGCCCCGCTAAGATCCATTTCTGTCCTCATTAGTCCACGTTTCGCCTTGCTGTTTGTGCTTCCTCTCATTACTAACGAAACTGTAAAGTGTGTCCCTAAGGATGCACTACTTGGCTCCTGGAAAACTGTTTATCAGTTCACACGACAGAACTGTGAAGCCACTGTGTTCTCTTTTTTTTCCCATTCTATTTTGTATTGATTTATTATTTATTACCATTTATTCACTTTGTATCCTGGCTGTAGGCCCTTCCCTCATCTCCTCCCAGTCCCACCCTCCACTGGACTAGGGGAGGGCCATAGTGGAGAAGAGGAAGGGAGGGTGTTATCTGTTGTTAAGAAAGCCAGTGTTCTGCTGTAACTGACCACAGCTCTAGAAAGGACAGAGTGTGAATGAGAAAGAGAACGAAGCAGCTCATTTTCTGGGGATAGATTTATAGGGTAAGTTTACATGATGCTTATAAGCATAAAGGAGGTATGAGGCCTCTGGGGGAGGAAATCCACAATGGGGGTTACTATAGGAAAGGAAAATGACATAAATAATCATTTTCTAATGATCAAAGAGTATGGGAGGACAAAGAATATTAAAAAAAAATTCATAGGAACAAACAAGTTATGGGCAAGCAGAAAGAGCCAACTCATTTCAATGTTTATTATCCTTTTTCAATCCGGCGGCAACGGTGTATTTTCACTCTGCTAGGGAGAAGTAAACAGGGCACAGGGTCACTGTGGGTCTGGAGCACTGGAGGGCTGTCCCTCCACCCCTCACCCCTGCATCTACAGACCTGCTGCCAACAGACACACCTTCATTTCATGTGAAGGAGAGGGAAAGAGCCACACCTCTCCTTGGGGTGAAGAGTCAACAGAGGGGAGAGAGGAAGGACACTTCCGAACATGTGGCTCAGACACGCAGCCACGTGGCCCATGAAGACACTGGTGACTTCTCATGTGCTGCCTTGCTGGGCAGGAGAAGGGCTGGTACCAAGTCTCCCAGGTGTCTGGGCAGACTTCCTTTCCCTATGGCTATGCCTCAGTCAGTGACCTCAATCCAAAGTTCCTTTACAATTACGGGCACGGGGAATTCCTGGAATGAGGCTCTTGGTCATTGACTACTGGGTAGACTCATTAAACACGACGTGGGAAATTACTGCATGGTTTGAAGCCTTGGAGATCCTTCCTAATCCTACCACGATCAGACGTAAGAATATTTTTTTATTCTATAAATCCATTATCAGAAAGGATTGGAACTAATAATGAAGGAAAAGTTAAGCACAAATCTCAGGGAGTGAGTTTATATAGGAAAAGCTATTTACTGTTATGGAGAAAAAACTAAAACAAACAACAGTAGGCGATACTCAGGCCTAATAGCATTTTATTGAAAACCATCCAGACAAATCCTTTTCATAACATACACATCTGTTCCCAGCAAGGGACAATGAACCTGGGATGATTCTTCGATGTCCTCCACACTGACTCCTGCTCACCAGCTGTAAACAGTTCCCCTACAGCCCAGTGGTACAGAACACTCAGAAACCTGCTCTGACTGTTTTCAGGGAGCAGAAAAGGAATTGGAATTAAAAATGAGTAAGCAAGGACTACACCTGAGTTCTAGGAGCCTAAGAGTCTATAAATAAACGTTCCCGCTTACAGTTTATTTCAAAGTTAGGTGACAGAAGGTAAGGGCACCGCCCAAACAGATACAAACTGACCTGAGGATAGAGGAGTGGAGTGCTACAATATAGTTACTCAGGGAAATGGGAAAAAGGAGAAAAAATACCCTTAGATCCCCTTTGATCTAACTCTACCTACAGGGGGGCTTCTGCCGTCAAACGGATGTGACAGGAATGATGAAAAGGAAACCAGATGACTCTAAGGATGGAAGACTGACAGCTGGAATGAAATGAACACCTGGTGGGATCTACAGAAACGGTCATGGCAATGTTGATATCTTACAGAAGGGCCTGACAGCCTCTCAACATTTCACTACACAGTCTCTGTAGAGAGATTAGCAATGCCACCAAATCTTCCTGAAGCAACCTCTGGAAGGTTTTTAAACCGAGAAGAAAAACATCCAAGCGAAAAACGTCAAAGAATGAAAGCAACAATGGTGCTCCCACACAATCTGCAGTCAAAGTGTTTCTTGCGGCCTCTACCTCGGAGGGGAGGCATCGGTGTGAGCTTTGTTTCTACCCGAGTTTAAAACCCTCAGAAAACTCTCCTAGCTTTTACGCGTCAGTCAACAGTGGCATAAATATGTTGTCAGTGTAAGGAGTTTTAAAAAGCTACAGTGAAGACAGAAAGCCGAACTGTTGGTGCCGATGGGTCTGTTAATGGATGTCAGTATGTTGAAGGCTGCTCGGATACCAACAAGGATGGTCCTCAAAACATTCTTCCTTCTTTGAGTTCCTTCTGGGGCTCCACTGATCAGGATGCCGGGGAAGCACTGTGATCAAGTCTCTTGACTGATCAAAATACTTGTTCTTTTTCTTTTAATAAGTACCTACAGTAGCTGAAAGTACAGGCAGAATACAGTAAGCCATTCAGCTAACCAAGTGGGCTTTCCTTTCAAAGCTGGGCACCCAACAAACAGATGTGCTTTGCTGTGTTTGAGTCTTACTTACACATTCTGGCCCCGTCAGTGCACAGCCTTCACCAGGCACTTTACACACAGCTTCCAGCAGCACTTCAGAGGGCGAAGATGCACAAGTCCCTATGTACAGGGGTCACAGAAGGAGCAACCCAATCCTGAGAATTAAGCACTGGGCTGCAAGTTGAATCCTACTGTAGGTAGCCTTTAAAGGGCTAGGGAATTTCCCATATTAGCTATCTTGGTACCAAACAGAAAATAATGGGATTATTCCTCATAGCAACCAGCACACACTCCAAGGGGATTCAATTTCCAACAAAAATAGTACGATCAAGAGAGCCATAAAATAGCACATTAAATATTCTCAGACCCTGTTATTTTAAAGGTGGAAAATGTTCCCAAGTCAACTGCCTAGAATTTGGATAGGTATGTGATAATGGTGGAGGGAGGGAGGAGCTGAGGCGTCAAAAAGCATTTGTTTGGAATTTGAAGCACCAGGGAGCCTTCATGTACTAACAAACCTGGCTCCGTGGTCTCAGAATCTGACGACTGTTGCTCCTGGGATGTGCAAAGACTCATGTGTTACAAGCATGAAGGCTGTAACATCCGGTGCTTCCAGGAGTAAGAATTCTGTGTTCTCTCAGAAGCTATTACTCACAGCATCTCCCTTTCCACCTGCTGTGTAAGCAGAATTAGATTCTGTACTACTTAGCGAAAAGATCAATGTTCAAATCAATTGACAGGAAGGGATGACACGTGGCACTCAAGCAGTCAGCGAAAAGCAAGGAAAATCTAGGCCAAACATCTGAAGGTCAGCCAAAGGTCAGGCTGCAGTCCTGTCTCAGCAAATTCACACAGAACATCTACTTCTGGATCTCATATGAACACTGAAGGACAAACACTTTTAAAATAAACATTTCTGGCATATAACAGAAAACAAGGAGCTATTGTTGGTGAATTAGCTTCAAGATCAGAATGTGCATCACAATCAATTTAAGTTTTGATAATATTGCTGGAATACAGTGCCTGTTTGGCTCATTCAAACTGGTATTTCTGGTTTATAAAAAAACTAGGAATTTAAAACACAACATTTAGGCCCCAAGTCTAATTGGTAATTCTTGCGGTTTTTCTTCCAGAAGCATGGCTTACTGCATTCTTGTCCCCTTTAATAATCAACCACTTGAGAAAACCAAGTCATAAAACTACTCTCTGTTGGAGGAAAAAGATTCAACAGAAGCGATGGAAGGTGATGGCAATCTACACATAATCATGTATCTGCACTATATGTAGTGTTATGTGTATGTGTGAGCTGGGGACAGAACCCAGGGCTTTTTGCATGCTAGAAAAGTGTTCTGCCACTCCGCTAATCCCACATCTCTCTCTTCTCTTTACTTAGAAACAGTCTCACTGAGTTGCCCAGGTTGGTCTTGAACTTGTGATCGTCCTGCCTTAGTCTCTTCAGTAGCTGGGATAACATGTTACCAGGGATGGCTTACCAGTGAGTTTCTAGAAAGAACTTAAATAAGAGTGAGATGTCCTCCCAAGTCTGGAAATACATGTAAATGGCCACAAAAAATAATGTACTTGTCATGCATCCTTCTCTTTGGAAGATAGTTAAGATGGCTTTCATATACACCTTTAAATAAAGCAAGTAATAAAAGGAAGGCGCTGACTGCTAAATAAAAGCCCGGCCACAACAAGTACACAGTTTCATTTTGCTTCCTTCAAAAGCAACGGAGACACTTAGCCCAGAGGAACACACAGAGAGGCACTCTGTAAGCACAGGAGACATGCTTTCCTTTCAGAGTTCAAATGCAGGGAACTTGGCCTTCGTGGGGACTAACAGGTCAGCCAGGAAATATATTGTTCCAGCCATCCCTAAAGCAAGAGAAAGAAGCACAACTTACTATACCAAATGGCTCCACTTCATAAAGAAGCTCATTTTTTTTTTTTCATCACCAACTTTATCCTAAGACATGGGAAGCGTCCTGTAATTCATACACTGCATTCAACATCAGAGGCCCCTAGAGAGCTTCTTGGCTTTGTTTATTCAGGGGGAAGGGAGGAGACAGAATGGAAACAAGTCCAAGCCACTTACTACCTGTCACTACCTGCGAGTTTCTTGGCCACAGCACTGTGGCCACGTAGCTCCCTGAGGCTCTGTATCTACGACTCAGCCTGGCTTCAGAAATGGTGGTCCCATCACAGCTACTACTATCGTCTGTGGTAGCATGCTCGCTAAGTCTTTTTGTTTTGTTTTGGATACAGGGTTTCATACGGTCCAGGCTGGCCTTAAACTAGCTAACTGGCTAGGGATGATCTGCTGATCCTGCTGCCTCTACTGTTTCCATCCCTTGAGTTATAACGGAGACTGCGGAGGTGTGCCAACATGCCCAGTTAACGCAGTGTGGAGGATGAACTCGGGGCTTTATGTACACTCAGGAAGCACTCTAACACCCGAGCTGTACCCCCAACCTCACCACCCGACCTGAAACATAGAAGTAAGGAAGTGTATGTTTAAGAGTGGCCTATAAGAACCAGTGAGTAGTTAGGGCTGGAATTCAAACGCATTACCACCAAGCAGAGTAGCAGAAGGTATGTTGTGTGTGAAAAATACCTTCGAAGAGCGAGAAGGGGGTGTCTGGTGTCCTGCATCCGTGTTCTCCATAGTCTAAACACCACTCAGCAAACTGAAAAAGAGACCAAGTTCAACGACTGTAGTTATTTCTTCAGAGATCCTGAGAACTCATGAAACTACTTTGAAAAATTCCAAAATACCAAGTCAGAGATAAGGAGCTAATGTTGAGACTTGGGTGGCTTGAAGGCAGGTATAGGCCTTGGGAGGGGTTTAGTGAGCATGCGAGCCACATGCTGCCAAGGGTATCAGAGAACAAAATGATGTCTGTCTTTCAGCTTTTACTCCCACAAATGTCCCAGCAGAATGCACACTTTAAAGGAATGCTACCTTAACTGAATAGTCCCTGAAGGTTTTCTTAAAAGTTAACACATTTGTTAACTCTAAACTCATGGACACTTTCAACCTCTCAAGGAGCAGCTTCTCCATGTACAGCCTGGCCCCTACCTTGCAGGCCCTGTACAGGTACTTCACATCTTGCGTGAGGTTGTAGAGTGCCAGGAACGCGTAGGCATTCCCTGCAGCACCGTGGCATAGCCCGTAGCCCTTCTTCAGCAGCCCGTACTGCCACACCACGTCAGCACACCGGTAGGCGTCATGCAGGTACTGCTCCTCTTTGAACACCTACAGAGTCAAGGGACATATGTATCATCAGGGCACAAAGGAAAATTCTCCAGGCACGGAAGGAAGAAATAAGGAATGGAACAACAGAATATGTTACGGCTACTGACAAATTCTTAACATTGACTTGTAGCACAGTTAGGTTTTCCAACTTGACACAAGCCTAGGCACACCTGGGAAGAGGGATCTCAACTGAGGAACTGTCTCTATCAGACTGGCCTGGGGGCATATCTGTGGGGTGTTTCCTTGATTGCTGACTCATGTGGGAGGGTCCAGTCCACTCCCTGGCAGGTAGTCCTGGGTTATATAAGGAAGTAGACTGAGCTAGGCAGGGGAAAGGAATTAGTAGCAGCATCCCTCCAAGACTCTGCTTCAGTTCCCACCTCGGGTTCCTGCTTTGCCTTGGCTTTCCTTCATGTTGGACTAACCTAAAAGCCACATAAACCCTTCCCTACTCCAAGTAGCTTTGAGTTAGTGTTTTATCACAGCAAAAGAAAAGCAACTATGTAATTAGCTTTGATTTTTAAAAATAACTTGGCTTAGGGCTGGAGAGATGGCTCAGCAGTTGAGAACACTGACTGCTCATCCAGAGGACCCGGATTCAATTCCCAACACCAACATTGCTGCTCACAACTGTCTGTAACTCCAAGATTTAACACTCTCACACAAACATACATGTAGACAAAACAGCAACACACGTTAAATAAATAAATTATTAAAAAAATAACTGGTCTTGTATGTTTGGTCTAAGCTTTACGTGTATGTGTGAGACCGAACAGCAGTACTGAACTGGCCACTTGTTCTTATCATCACTCCTTCTCCAAAGAGCACACACTAGCTGCTTGAGTAATTATGACACCCTTCACCATTAAGAGTTATCTTTACATACTGGGGAAGAATCTAGGAGCTATTATTTTATTTTTGTGTGTATGTATATTCTTATGTGTGGATATGTGTATGGGTACCTGTGAAGGTCAAAGGTCCAAGTCAGATGTTTCTGCTAACTGCTCTCCAACTTTTTTTTCACGATAGGGTCTTTCACTCACTCTGGGCAATACTAGCTGGCCAGTGAGCCCTAGGGATCGTCCTATCTCTAACTCCGCAGCACTGGGATTACCTTGTTCTGCATATAACTCAGTGGCGCCAATTATAGTCTTGAAGTTGTGCACCCAACATCACTTCCATTTTTACTATTACACATTAAGCAATAGGTACTCATTCCCTGTTCTCTACGGCCTGACCCTGATACCTTCTACTTTCTGTCTATATAATTTGCCTACTCTAACACATCCTATTAGTCATCACTAAATATAAGTGTATTTCCTCTTCTGCATTGCATTCTGGGTGTCTATAGTTATTTTGTTTAGCATGTTTTCAAAGTTCATGAGTATTATAGTATATACTGGCATTTCATTCTGTTTCATTCCAGTATTTTATCCATATACTCATCTGTTGATAGATAAGAGATGTTTAGGGATTTTTCATCTAAAATATGATGAACAGCTTAAAATGGAGCTGTTATGAATTGTCATGTGCACAAACCTCTTTGACTTGCTCTAGATTCTTTCTGTCTATCTATCCCCTATTGGCATAAGCCTAGGGTGGAACTATTCTATCACAGTGAAGTGCTTGACTTTTAGGGACCACCAACCTGTCTGCATGGCAGCTGTGTCATTTCACATTCCAGCAGCAATGAATAAGGATATTGCTTTCAGTTACACTTCTGAGACATTTATCTTGGTTACTCTATCAGTGAAGCAGCTTCTAGTGTTATGGGATGGCAAACACCATGGAGGGTAGACCTGTGAGAAAGGCTGCTAACCAATTTAGCACAATGAATGATCTTAGACTCAGCAGCTGGTTCACAATCCTTTAATGATTATGAGAATAGTGTTACCTTAAAAAAAGTTTGCTATGTTTTTCAAAAATTTCTGTTACACATGAAAACAGGAGGTACCTTGTAGGCTTGGATGAGCATGTAGATGACCCCAGGGGCACCGTGGCACCAGTGGACAAGCAGGTCTCTGGTGTCATCCAAACATGGAGGATAATTGCCAGAAGGGAACTTCAGCTGGCAGACAAAGTCTACACTGGGCTTCACCAAACTGTGTAACTTTCCTTGGCTCACCTGAAGGCTGGGCTTAAAAGGAGAAACAGAATTATTCTACTGAAGAAAAAGAATTCCTAGAATTCAAAATGAGTTTAAAACCAGAAAGAAAAAAAAAATCACATTTAATAGGAAATGTGAGCTTCCTCAAGATCCAGCTATCCACTCCTAGGTATATATCCAAAAGAAGCTCAAGTATACAATGAGGACATTTGCTCAACCATGTTCATAGCAGCTTTATTCATAATAGCCAGAATCTGGAAACAATCTAGGTGTCCCTCAGTTAAGGAATGGATACAGAAATTGTGGTACATTTACACAATGGAATATTACTCAGCAATTAAAAACAAGGAAATTATGAAATTTGCAGGCAAATGGTGGGAACTAGAAAAGATCATCCTGAGTGAGGTATCCCAGAAGCAGAATGACACACATGGTATATACTCACTTACAAGTGGATATTAGACATATAATATAGGATAAACATACTAAAATCTGTACACCTAAAGAAACTAAGCAAGAAGGAGGACCCTGAGCAAGATGATCAATCCTCACTCAGCAAGGCAAATGGGACAGACATTGGAAGAGGGAGAAAACAGGAAACAGGACAGGAGCCTACCACAGAGGGCTTCTGAAAGGCTCTTCCCTACAGGGTATCTAGGCAGATGCTTAGACTTATAGCTAAACTTTGGGTAGAGTTCAGGGAATCTTATGAAAGAAGAGGGAGACACAAAGACCTGGAGGGGACAGGAACTCCACAAGGAGAGCAACAGAACCAAAAAATCTGGGCACAGAGGTCTTTTCTGAGACTGATACGCCAACCAAGGACCATGCATGGAGATAAACTAGAACCCCTGTACAAATGTAGCCTATGGCAGCTCAGTGCCCAAGTGGGTTCCCTAGTAATGGGAACAGGGGCTGTCTCTGACACGAACTCAGGGTCTGGCTCTTTGATCACCTCTACCTTACAGGGGAGCAGCCTTACTAGGCCACAGAGGAAGACAAAGTAGCCAGTCCTGATGAGACTTGATAGGCTAGGGTCAGATGGAAGGGGAGGAGGACCTCCCCTATCAGTGGACATGGAGAGGGGCATGGGAGGAGATGAGGGAGGGAGGGTAGGATTGGGAGGGAATGTAGGAGGAGGCTACAGCTGGGATACAAAGTGAAGAAAAAATAAAAATCAAAAAAATAGGAAATGTGAGGTCATTGAAAGGCTTCACATCTCTTCCAATTGTTTCATCCGCTAGATATTCTAGTTTTAATCTTCTGCTTTATGATTTCTAAGTAATGGAAGTTAAGTAACTCTTAAGGCATTCTGTATGTATTATTTCCAATGTTTGCTGTTATGGACATATTCAAAAGCACTTTTCCTAAGTCAGTGCTTGCAAACAAGGGTGCAATCCATGTTTGTCAAGTGCAGAGACACAATGAACAACCAAGCTCAGTTTCTGCTTTCAGACAGGAAGATGTTGGGTGCTGTCTGCAACAGGAAAGGGCATGAGACTGGGAGGCCCGAGACCTGCTGCGAACTGCCATGTGGCTGAACATCGAACTGGAAATGACCTGTACACTGGATTACTCTGATACTGGGATATACAGGTTTATGTGGCATGGTGGATGTCACTTGGGATATAATTCTGCGATTCTCTTTTTGATAGTTTTTAATTCAGTGCTTTGCTCACTCTCTAAAAGACACAGGGGATGGGGCATGTGGGGAGGAGTGCACACTCAGGGGATGGTGCTGGGAATGCCGTGTTCTCAGGGTTCTGTATTCTTCAATACGTACAAAAATAGAACTTTACACAAAGAATACTTAATCAGCAGAAAGTATTCAAAGCAGAGTGAATCACTCCAGGGTTATCCAACATGGCCTAGAAATAATATTGTTCAGTTTTATGTTGATATCTAGACACATTCACGAATGGATTTTCACTACTAAAAACTTCATCATTTCCAGCAGATAACAAAATGGGAATTGAAAAATTAATACCATGTTTTCAGATTTATTGTCAGAGCTAACAAAGAGTCATAGTAGATAGCTCTTGACTCTCAGATTTAATGACGAGTCAACAAGGCTGCCTGCCCACTCACTGACATGTATGGTTTTAACTTGATCAGCAGATACAAACCTTCCTTTCATGAAATCTTTTAAAGAATCTACATGTAGTTCTGGAAATAAAGTCACCAAGGAAGCATTCCAGAAAAAGAAATTTAAATCTTGATTGTCAAAAATGCTAATTATACAACTACCAGAAAATAGAACAAACAAACAAACAAATGTAGGCTGGCCTCTGATCACTGCTCCCAAACTGACTTTATTCCAAAGCAAGCATGGGTTGTGGGCAGGAAAACTGTAGTTTTGTGTTCTTCTGGCCAGATGGTGACATGTACCCCCATGCACACGTGGTGGGCGCACAAATGGAGCGCTATCCTTTACGTGACACTGTGCTCTGTAAGAGAGAGGCACACACTTCCCCTGTCACCAAGAATCCACTTTCTTTTGCCACAAAGTCTCATAGTCAAGTGTTGTTCTTTACAGCAGGGAATGACACTTGTGACTCAAGGTATTTCCCAAGAGAACAAAGAGCACTTCATGTAGACTGAGGGGTCAAGGGCCTGCTCCAGTGGTGCTCAGGGACTGCACTCTCACCCGAGAACCTGGCACCATCCCCCGCATGCTGTCTTTATGCTGTCACACTTAAAGGTGCACCCTGGCTACTGCACGGAGTGTGACACAGCCCGACAGAAGGATCTGCTCCCCGCCCAAGCCTACACGTGTGGGTCATCTAGTCTCACCTGAAGCATCCCTCACCTGCATCAGGTAGTAATAAATCCCCGCCAGGCCATGCGCAGCCCCCACGTAATATTCCTGGTACCACTCGTACATCAGTGGAGACTTTGCTGTGAAGTTTCTCTTTCTAGACAGTTTTTCTCCAGATGTTAAGATTGCTTCACAAACCTACAAGAAAGGCAAGCAAAATGACAAGACAGTTAGACAAAAAGTCTTCTTGGTGGATCTTTTTGTTAATTACTGGTAGGTAATCAGACACTACCTTCCACCAGGAAGAACACAGTTCCCTTCTGAGAAGTGTGAGTGTTATTCTATCTAGGAGGCAGTTGGGGAGAACCCTCAACTCTTTTTATTAGCACTTTTAAGAATCTACATGTCTTTCAAAGAGAAGCACAAACTCCTCCAGGAACCGAAGGAGATACTTTCATCTGAGAGATGAGACCTGGCCTCTATCTCACATAGGAAGGGTGTCTGACCTATCAAACAAGCAGCACAGCCTTCTGGCTTCCATTGTTCCTGACAGAGCTTCCCACAGACCAGTGTGAAGCTGTTGTCTCTGTCTTTACATCACCTATAGAGGTTGAACGCACGGTCTTTCTACATGGGATGTCCTACGTGGAAAGACAGAGAGTATGGAACGCTTCTAAACCCCACAAAACTATTACCTGCTGGATATGGCTCTGAGGAATCTTCTCCTCTCCAAAGTTCTTATTGACAAAAAGAAGAGCAAAGATGTAGCCTATGCGTCCATAGAGCATTTCATTTGGTGAATGGGGGTCAATCTTACTCAGGTGAATGAGCCTAGGAATAGAAACATGCGCCTATGATCATCTGGCAGGGATCAGACACCGGCATATGACATGGTTCATTAAAAATATAGACACTGACATATAAGCACACATATCTAAAATCATGGTTTAAAGACTAGCCCCATGTTGAGTTCAAAATGGAACTGGCCAAACAAAAGGAGAATGCACAAGTGAGGCTAAGGCTGCTGAATTCTCCCTAGCTTCTCACAGAAGCAGGCTCTAAGACTTGTGCTTCAGCAGTGGGGATGGGAGGAGCTAGCCACTGCTGCCATCACAGCATTTCGCCTGAACTGATGGACACTTTAACGAAGTGCTTGCTGCCTCCTCCTCCTCTCCACTGCAGCCTCCTCTGCCACAGGGAAACGCACGCAAATGGCAGAAGGCCAAACAGGTTTTGTTTTTAGGAACATCCTTGGCTACTATGTGTGTTTCTAGATTTCCGTGCATGTAAGCACAAATACATGTGTGCATAAATATGAATTTAATCCAGCAATGGTCTGCAGCACCCTTCATACAGCTCTTCCCTGTCAAGCACACACAAGACTAGTTTCCTTCTTTATAAGTTAGAAAACAGTATCCTGTCAAATTGCACATTCTAATTCATTAGCTTCTTATTGATGGGTGCAGTGCAGCTGTCTCAAACGCTTTTATGGGTTCTGTTTCCAGGTAAGCAGCATCAAGTAAACGCCACCCTTCCCTTTCTCAATAAACATGGCTCCAACCATCTGGAGAGAAAACACCAGGCAGCAGTTTGAGTACTTTGAAAAGGAAACAGCAGTGGCTAGGTGGGGCAGAATCTGGAATACGACACTGGAGGTTTCTCCCCCTTCCAATAATCTCTTGGCCTGAGCTCAGTATGGCCAATAACACAGAAGTGGGTACTGGCAGGCTGACGGTGGTCCCAGAAGGGCTTTGGTCTCAGGGATGAACAGGAAAGAAAGGTCCTTAGTAAAGGACTAGAGAGGGTAAGACCTCTCTCTGTCTCAAGCCTCAGGCAGAAACAACTACAATGGGAACCCAGAGGCTGCGAAACAGTGAGGGAGAGATAACCTTCCCCCGGAGACTACAGGCACTGTGGCTGTATGGGAGGGGTAACCCTGTTTACCTAACCTCTGTGTCACTTAGCCCAGAAGTAGGCGGAACACTTACTGCTGGAAACCAGACCCCAGGGGAGGCACGCCTGGAAGACAACCCAGGTTAGGTATCCTCAACTTGTGTGGGTTTTTGTTTTTTGTTTTTTGTTTTTTTTTGGAGGGGGAGTGTCCTTGCTCTTTTAGAATTTTTAGTAACATCGAGTTTGAAAATGGACCTTAATTTTTTCTAAATTCTTTATGAACTGTAACATGATCCCATTTAAGTTATTAAAACACTTTAAATTTTGACAAAATGATATTAGTATAAAAAGCTCAGGGACTTTCTGGAAAATCAAATGTTATTTGATATTTTACAATATACTCGGCATAACATTCCATCTTCATTCTGTTTCTTCTTTAAGAATGACTCCTGATGCTAAAATTCCCTTATTTGTTCTCAGGGTAGAAGCTCATCTTTGGATTGTCAGCATAGTGTGCACGCCTTCCTAATTTGATTTCACACTCAAGTGGCTGAACAGCATTTGCAACATTACATCTCCAATGGGGTGAATGGTTACATTACAAATACTGTAACCAGGAATCAATGTCACAGGGACTCAACAATCTCTTACCAAAATCCATATCAAGACCTTGTTAACAAAAGAAGAAAGGAATGTGAGGACATGGCTTTCTTGGTGGACTGAGCTGACAGGGCTGGAGATGTGGGCTGAGTATAGTCTTTCTTGTTCTTTAACAATTAATATAGAGGGCTGTGTAGCTTCCTCAGAGCTAGAAGAGCAGTCTCTGAGACTATCACATGTGGATTTCTTCCTAGTAAACATTTGCCCATTTGGTAGAACTAGGCCACTGCCCATGCTTTTATTTTAACACACATAGGAGTCAGGGTGTAGCTGTTACATACACAGCCATATATAGATAGCCGTAACTCATGGAGGCCAACAATATTTACCCAGATCAAGAACACAGGAAGCCTAGGCCCACAAAGCCATGACTGCTGCTCCAGCAGGCCAGATGCACATCAGTGCATATGGCAAAGAGGCTGGAGTTAGGAAGACAAGCATTTGTGAGAAAGAAAAGACTCCTTTCACATTCCCCCCCTCCCCTTTTTTTTCTTCTATCACCTACTGGGAGGGAGAGGCACAGCTGGTGTCTGCAATAAAAAGGGCCTGTTCCTATAACCAGAATGAGATAACTTTATGACTCAAAAAGCTGACAGAACAAATGCTAAGGAAACACATCAAGGATTCGTTTTTAAAAATTAAACAAAATTTTTAATTAGATTTATTCATTTTGTTTTATATGTGTTTCATTTGAATTATGCATGTTTACCATACATGTGCCTGGTACATGCAAATGTCAGAAGAAGGTATGGAGTCCCTTGGAATTGGAGTTATGGAGATTGTGAGCCACCAGATGGACACGGGGAATTGAACCCAGGTCCTACACAAAAGCAACAGGTGCCTTGCTCTTAGCTACTAAGCCTTCCATTGCTGGTGTAAAGGATATTTAAATGCTTGCTACTTGGTAGAAAAACGGGGCTTAAAAAAGAACGGTACTGTGCAAGCAACTGATGCACTTCAAATTAGAAAAATATATAAATGCCAGATCATAGTCTCTTTATTCCCTTGACAATACGGGAAACAAAATGGCAGTGAAATGGTGTCTCAGGGTCAGGGTCACCACGGCCAGATGTTCTTCCTGCAGTGTTGCTTAAGGTCTGCTCAGTGCTAATAGAGCCATGGGGGAGGAAGGGGAGAGGGAATGTCTTCTTTTCACTTCTTGCCCCTCCCCCATCTTATTGTGGCTGGGCAAAATGAACCCAGTGTCGTGGGCATGATGGCCAAGTGTTCATCTTCTCAATTATATCCTTCACCTCTGGTTTTTCTTGTACTCAAAGAAAACACAAATGGTTACACACACACACTCTCTCTCTCTCTCTCTTTATAGTTAAGGTCAAACCTGGTGGTAACAAACTAAAAGAAGAAAAATGACATATCAGTTTTTGGGTACTGAATCAGGTTAGTACTATAAATTTGGGCATTGGTGAGGCTATATGGGATATATATGTATTTTTGTGACACACACACACACACACACACACACACACACACACACACACACATTGCATTACTGTTTCTTGAAGGGTAAGCTATTTCCAGAGGGCTCTGTTTAAGATGTCTTACCTGCCTTCTGATCCAATGATTTTCGATTCAGTAGTTTTCCAATATATACTTATGCAGGTCTTTGCGTAGCACAAATAACTGGCACATTTACTCTAAATCGTTTTCCAAAATGACTCTACAAAGGATGCTGTGTAGGTTTTTCTGCCTAATTTTTTTTACTAGGACATGCGCTGAGTAACTCAAGGCTCTTCAGGGACTAAGAGGCTTCACAGAGGCTGAGCAAGCTGGCCCACCCTACCCCTCAGCCCTGGCAGGAGCAGGCAGGATAGGTGTCCAGGTATCCTGGGCTGCACAAGTCTCCTCCTTTAAAGTAAGTTCAGAGACTCAGACTTCACTCGGTAGACTCCTCAGAGCTCAGAGGTACCTCTGAGAGGGAAGATCTGGGAGGACACACCACATGGCCCCAGGCAGAGGAGCCTGGCCAGCTCATTTTCAAAAGAACATAAAAACATTTGCTAAGAAAACCATCTTTTCCCCCTCATGACAGAACTTGTATCTGAGCAACACTGGGGCCAAGACAACAGATCTGTTGGCTACATACAAATTCAGCAACTGCAGCAGCCAGATCATGTGTCTCAAGGTCAGATCGGAACACCTGACTGACTTTAATACAGACACATTGATCCTACAGACTCTGGAAACAAAACCAGACTTGACTTACTTCTGCAGAGAGACAGAAGGACTCAAAAGGAAGACTTCGGTGTTATTTCTGCCCTAGGAAGCATAATTGTGATCGATTACTACACTCAGCACAGTGAAGATGCTACCAAAACAGAGTTGAACTACTGAATTACAAAAATGCCAGTGTCCTCATCTACACTACTACTAGGTGGCGATACACAACTAACATAAAACCACACTCATTTGCCCTAGGGCTGGTCATAGCAGCAGGTATGGAATTCAGTCTAGAAGCTTACGGACGCTGTGTGCAGAGCTGGCATCTCCCAACAACAGAGTTTAGGCTAATAAGAGACGTGGGACATTTCCTTTCTGCATCAGAATTCAGACTGTCAGCACTTCCTAGTTGGTTCTGACTACTACAGGGGCTGGAAGCCCTGCACTTCACATGCTACATTCATAAGATAAAATAATCAGGATACCTGAACATCATTATGTCATAAGGGTTATTTTATGTCTTTTTGGAAATTCTGAGACCCACAAGTGTATCTCTGTAGCTCCGCTTATCTGTTTGGATAGGCTGATACTAACAGCAACAGAAGAGACCAGCAAGTCACTGAACGTCACTGGACGAAGAATAAAGACACTCGAGGCTGCTCTGCTAGGTATCTACTTGCACCTCCCCCAGGTGTTCATGGAGCTTTCTGTTCTGCATAATGTCAAAAGATTTATAAAGGTTAAAAAAAATAATAGTCCTTTTCTGATTCATTACACTACAACATACAAGAAGTCTCAGCTCCTCAGACCTACAGCGTATTTGCTAGATGGCAGAAGAAACCACTAGGAGGTACTGTCAACCAGGCCATTTGCTACACAACAGGACCAAGTGCCATCACTGATTCTCATTCATCCCTCCCAACTCCTCTGGCCCCCCATGGTAAGCCAGAGACCCCCATCCTCCATGAGAAAAGTGCAAGCCCTCTCCATTCCGAAAAAAAAAAATGTTTCACAGGGTCCCTCTACTTCTGGAAGCTAAAGACCCTCAAAGGCAAGGTTAAGAACTGAAACCTAAGGAAAACTGATTTCTTTGGATTCTTGTTTCTTTATGTAAACATTGTTATTATTATTATTTTTAATATTTAAGGCGTGTTTGCTCTTTCAAACTCAAAATGCTGGAAAGGTAAGTGGATGGTGTGGCTAGTGGACACAACAAAGACATTGCCCAAGGAAATGAGTGTGATACCCCGAGGGGATGTGACACCAGGTAGATGGTTCATTAAGAAGCAAAATAAGCAAGTGCCCTGATTCAATCCCTGATGATATAAAATAATTCTGGATTTCTAGGAATTGAACTAAAGAATTTTTTTTTTTTTTTTTGCCACTAAGAAGGAGGAGATGTAGAGGGTGAGGCAAGGACCGCAGTTCCCAGTAGTGCTCATGAGATACAGATTCGGGAAAGCTGTGGCCACCAACAATGAATTTCCCCGCCACACCCACATTTGCATACATATGGAGTAGAAAAGTAACCACATGTACACATATGCAGACACAGACACACACACATACCTTTCTTTACTTTTGTTTTGAGACAATCTTACTGCATGGACCATGCTGGCCTAGAACTTAGTATGTGGTCCAGAGTGGCCTTGAACTTGTAGAAATCTTCTTCCCTCAACCTTCCAAGGACTAGGATTATGGATGGGAGCCACCACACCTATCTCACATTCTGTATTTTAGCTGAACATGACAAGCTTGATGGCTTTTGATCTTTTAAAAGTTGTGAATCATGAAAGGTATTTATAAGCAAGGTATCAAATAAATGATAAACGAATCTCAGCTTACTCATTTGAGTATCTTAAGGCAATTGAGGCATATGGTACCATTTCCCAGAAAGCATTTCTTAGGACAGACCCTTAGGATGAGAAACGAAGGCTGACTACATTGACAGCAAAGAAAACACTGCACTTCCCCGACACATGAGCTCCTGAGGACTATGTGCAGCCGGGCAACTGTGAGCATTTAATTCTGTGTAACCAATAATGAATTCCACCGTTACCATTAAAATTCTTAACAAAGAAGATTACCACTTAGCCACTGTATTTGAGAAGAGGTGACCTTGTGTGTGACACACAGAAACCACTATAATGTACCTGATGGTAATTCAGAGTGATAGGGAGGAATACTATCTCAGGAATCGCAAATGCTTAATGGCATTAAACCAGCGATGCAAGAACTAATAATTAGGCAAGGCAGTTTCTGTGCTTCAGCCTTAAGTGAGCATCCAACAGTTTTGCACTGGCTCGTCATACCTCAGTAAGCTGCCGTGGAAGGAACTCAACTGTGCTTAGACCTGTGGAGAAATTATTACTTTGTATCATCTACCACTCTGGTCAAGCTTGGGGACAGTTTTTTAAAAGTCATATTATAATTTTCTTTTTTATGAACTCATGAGTCTAATGAAGGTTACCCTTTTGGTTAGGCCAGGAGTGTGGGTTGGTTGTTATCAGTTGCTGTCCCCTGCCCTTGGCAGGCGCTGACCGCTGAGGAGGTGCTCAGGGCTGGTGCAGCATGCGAGTCCTTCCCCTCTGCACTGGAATGCTGGTAAGACCCATGCTGTGTGGGTCTCCTGGATGTAACCACAGCGCTGAGAGTTTCAGAGAGCCATGGCCACATCACACCCCCAGGGCAGGGTGCCAGCCTCTTCTTACACTCTCACGCTCTTTCCAGCCCTTGTGACAGTCTCTGACAGACTGGAGGGGTGATGTGCTGCTCCGTCCATGGTTACAGGCCCAGATCAGTTATGAGTCTCTATAGTAACTGCTGTCCAGTGCAAAGAGAAGCTGCTCTGACTACAGCTAACAACAGCACACACCTGTGGGTGTCAACATAAACATCTGGAAGGCAATTTCACAGGCACACCATGTCCTTTTAGCAAAACAACAGCAGTAACTTCCACAAGAGGGCATTTGACTGGCTTATCAGATCAGGCATGAATGCCCTCCTGGTGAGTGGGCCTCAGGTCAGGCAGTTGGTATCCCCTGGAGAGTCATGCCTCTACTGCACTAGCAGGCACATCCTGCTCTAGTTCAATGGTACAACATGTAGGGTTCACAGCTGAGTACGGCTACAACAGCATTTCCCAGAGGCCTGTACAGCACCTTCCAGCACTATGAGGGCTAGGCTGCATGGAGAAAGCTTATATCGTTTTATGTTAAACAATTCTCTGTCAGAAGGTTTTTTTTCTATACATACTAGATAATGCGGCTTTTCATTTGAAGTTGGACTATATAATTTGTGGTTTTTGATAGATATAAGCACAGTTATGTATTAAACAGTCAACGCAAAAAAATGATTTATTATGTTGATTCATATAATGTCACAGGTAGAACAAAAGATTCTTTCGCTTCCCTTCTGCAGTTATAATTTTCATTAGGAAAAAAATTGTTATAATGAGAAAGTAGCATTGTATCGGACAAAATTTAGGGAGAATGGAGAACTTCTGTATGTATGCATACCTAAACAAGTTACACATTCATTAAGCAATGCAGATATGAATAATTCCTTCACTGTAGCATAATTGTAACTTTTGGTTTTTGGTCCCTCGCTTACAAGAAACAAGAAGGGACCCACTTCCTTTCAAATGCAGATTCTGGGGAGCACCATGACTTAGTCATCCCACAATCAAGGCTTTGGTCCCAGGGAATTGATATTTGATCTGGACCATGCCAGCATCATCTATCTTGTATTAAGATAAGAATTACAAGGCTATTCCTTAACGATAAGAGGAAGATGAGAACGGACCAAAAGCGGGAGGAAGATTTACCTGCTGAGAGAAAAGCAAACTCAGTAGAATGTTCTTTTGTTAACATAGGCAGAATCCTAATAAGGTCAAGGCAACAACACTCCTCACAAACACACATGTTTACCGTGTGATGCAGTCCTCTGCCTGCTTCTCACTGTTCATCTTGTGATACAGCACAGCAGCCACGGCCAGGGGGCCTGCGTCGCCACACAGGAAGGTGATGGACCGCTTGCTCAAGCAGTTTAGGCTTTGCTTTACATAGCCATGTGCCATCTGCAGGTAGGCAGGGTCCCCAAACACATCATAGAGATGGAGGTAAAGCACAGCAATGCCTGGAATGCAAATAGAGAGCACATGGAGATTCTGGTGTGTCACCCACTCATCTGGGTTGGGTCCCATAAGCCATGTGAAACCATCTAAAAGTTCAGGTGATTTTCCAAAAAGCCTCAGCTCGACCTGCTGCGAGGCAGCTCTAAGAATAAGGCAGATGGAGTCAATTATCCTCCCTGTTAAAATTCTATTAAGTAATAAAGACTTTTTAAGATTTGACCAAGACAGATATGCACAGACACACTGACTATTACTACCGTTTTTGTTAATAACGAACAAGAAGTACAATCTTGGTGATGTAAAGCAATTCAGAGTAAGGTATGAAAAAGCTAACTTCTTTTTAAACAAAAGAAAAGGTGTATTTTGTTTTGTGTGTGAAAAGCTAGTTTGTGTCACCAGTCCTACTCTCTGGTTCCCTTACAGGAAGGGATTGGCCATTTGAGAAAATACACTCAAATTTTCTAATATTTTTTCATGTCAAGGACACCCACCCTGAGCTATTTTGGAGAATAATGGCAGAGCCCCCACTCGCCTTGCACCCTGTCCTCCCCTAAAGCCTATGCAGTTAGCTGAGGTCTGTAAATCCTTACTACAGGTGCCTGTGGCAGGAGACAGAGCTCCCTCTGAAGCCATCTCAGTGACAAGCAGTCAGAGTGGAGAAGGCAGTCTGTCTGCCTAAAGCATTTCCACAAACATTTTTCCCCCCATAAAGTACATTTTCCATCTCATTTGCCATTTTTAGAAGACACAGAGCCTATGTTTAAATCTAAATTAATAGGGCCGATCTCTTCATGGATTTCAATGTAGTAAAAACGGAGTCTGCAAAATTACTTTCCACTGTACTGAGGACAATTTTAAATTCAGATACTTTTCTCATTTTGCATGGGTAATCTCCCAAGCTTTGTGTTACAGACAATTCAATTTCACATGTGTATTAAGGCCAACTTTTCATTTCCTGCCAAAGTTAATAACCTTGTTTGCTCTTTCAGAGCGGCATGGTGTTAGTAATTCCAAAAGTTGATGAGCAGATGTAATGATGCTCAAGGTTTATAGACAAGTGTACAGAACCACGTATGTGGGGAGGAAAAAAAAAATCTCCTTTTCACAAATGATCAACATCAAGAGCTTCTTCCAGAATTGGCTCCGTAATGGGCTTCATCACCACCCACATCACGCGCCTGCTGGTGATCCACTTACACTGCTGCCCTTCTGCCTCCTCTCCTGTTCCCACTGCTGCCCCAACCCCCCTAATTAAGTGAGATTAGCGCCAAAGCCAGATAATGACATAACCTGGATCTGGGAAAATAAAAAGTGACTAAACACAAGCCCAGTGACTATTTTCCTTCTTGGAGTTTTGTCTCACGTATCAACAATTCGTTTTGTCTTAAGCTAACAAACAAAACCTATTATGCCTCACAATTTTAAAACCCGATGCGTTCCTCATGAAAATCGGGGAGTATTTCGGTTGGTTCTTTTCTGATGAGCACAGTTATGCCTGGAGCTTCTTGGATTCCAACAGCCCCAGGTTCCATTTCCCTGTCTCTATCCTGGGCCCTGGTGTCATATTTCATTTATGCAGTCTGTTTCTGGAGTGTGTGGTTTCTTCCTGCCCAAAGCACTCGTGGATAGAACGGGCTTTAAGTACTGAATTCTGCTGCCAATTTCCTCAGACCTACTTAAAATCCAGCTTGTGTCAGGAGAATAGACAAAATACTTAATTTCATTTCTCATCAACATGTTTAAATTCAATATAGAAAAAGTGGGAAAATGTAGAAAACCTGTGGCTGAATGTCTTGAGCCTGATCCTCAAATTCCGCAGCCTTGATAGTTTGCACGCACACACCTGCACACAAGTCTCTGCACAGATATCAAAGACTCAAAGATAGCAGGCAAGGTGGGAAACCAAGAGACAGGACAGGCCTGAAGATAAACTGCCAAGTCTGACCTCGGCTGTTCACTGGAAGTCATATAGCACTGCAGGGCTGAGCATACAATCTCACGCCCTTCCTAGTCCCTCTCCCTTCAATGATTTCAACTACTTGTTTGACTCTCTGCCTCCAATTTCTAAGAGAAAGCCTCGATGGTATTTTTTAATTCTTTCCATTTCAGACCATCTGTCTGTATGTCTGTCAGTATTCCCATCTAGAATACGAAGATTTACCTCTTGTGACATAGAACTGGTTCTCTAAATGCACACCCATTTCCCCTCAGGGGAAAAAGCTCTATCAGTGAGTATGTCTACCTCCTCCCACCTTTTTCCTGTCTGGGATGTGAAAGTGATGGCATGGTCTTGGTGGTGTGATTATAGACCATAAACTGGGAACTCCATTAGGATGCTGGTGATGGGAGGAGATGGCCGTCTAGTGCCCTAGATACCACTGCCCAGACCCTATGCTGTCTACTAACACAAGAAAGAGAATGTCTGTCTTACTAAAGCCATTGCTATTGAAGTGTACTACACATGATGGTAAGACAGCGCTAGAGAATAGAGCTCGTTCCAAAGCTAGAGAGGTAGTAAAGCTATGTCTCAGGTTTAGCCAGTTGATGATGGTGGTTTCATTTGAAATGCATCCTTTTAAGCAGGAGAACAGCATAACAGCATAAAGATATTTTACAAGCATTATGGCTACCCGGTAAGGGCTGGGACAGTGGCTGCCCGAGGGTAGTTAGGAGGATGCTACAAGAACAGGAGTGAAGCAGACACAGGGCACAGGGTAGACTAGAGATGCAGTGAGAATGGACCTGCCTAGGAGGTAAAATTAACAGGGCATGGTGGAGGACGAGTGACAGGAGATACCATGATGGCTCTCCAATGTCCCAGTTCCACAGTTTTGTGGGCACCACCAGCATGGCAGGGCAGGCCAACACCAGAGGATCTCAAGGGGCGATTACCATTGTGTCCATGAAGAAACACATCTTTAAATACATCAGTAGTCTTTAAAGGGCACTAATTTCAGGAGAAAAATACTTGTGTGATAACATCACAATTGGGCAAGTGATGGACAGAGTTGCATCTGCCAATGTTTAAATTGTTAAAAATGTTTAAATCATTAAAATAAGACAGCAGCCATTTGTAATTGAGTGTGATCTTCGATTTGCACCTGAACACTGGATAAAATTTCTTTGTACTGTTTGCTAAGCAAAGACTACAAAAACAGAGATATACTTCCCTTTTCTATCTTTTATTTTTTTGTACCACTTCAGAAAATATTTAAATATAATTTAAGTTTTGATCATACTCTAAAAATAAGCTCCATTTATTTATTTATTTATTTATTCCTGTTTGAAGTATTTTATTTAAAAACATAAAAGCCTTCTTTTCACAAACCCGGATAACTAACATTTTCACAAACAAAATTTTAAGTCTTATGATTTCTTTTTAAAAAATTACATTTTATTTGTCTCAGTGTGTGTATGTGCCATGGCACACACGTCTGAGTCAGTAGATGGCTTGTGGGCATCTATTTGCTCCCGAAACCACACAGGTTTCGGGCATGGAAATCAAGTTTTAAGGCTTGGTGGCAAGTGTCTTTACTCACTAGACCATGTCACTGGACCAACAATAAGTTTAAATTTTAAGCTAAAGATGGGTGTGGTGGTGTACACCTTTAACCCCAGAACTCTAGAAGGCAGAGGGAGGCTGACTACTGTGAAGGCCAGCCTGGCTTACAAAGCGAGTCCAGGGCAGCCAAGGCTACACAGAGAAACTGTCTTAAAACTACCCTCTCCCCAGCAATTAAAAAAAAAAAAAGGAAGGTTAAATATTACTGATTTCTTATCTTGCTGGTCTATTCCATGAAAACCAGTGTTGTTAGGCTATGCAAGTTAAGGCCTTTGGCTTGTACTATTTTTCAGTTTTGCTCATGCACATGACTAAAACATGTAGAATCTTAAAGGAGAATATAATCCATCTTAATGGACAAGGGGATACATAGAAAAGTAAATAAAGCAACATGTAATTAGATAGCATTTAGTTATGAGTCTTGTAATTGGAAAATGTGATCAGTAAGCATTTGGGAAACATCTTAATTCTGTGTAACTTGAATTCAGCAATGGTTTTCAATGTGTGTCACAAGCAGCAAACTGATTTGCCATAATCTTTGTGGTCTGCGAGGCCAGAGGAACCAAGGCATGTGACATTAGCATTCCGCTCACTCTGGTCCTGCAGCGTCTGATGCCAGCCTCTGCTCTACAACTACAGCTAAGTTAAGTTCATTGTTGGGGGATGGTCTGATGCTTGTATTTTGATTCTAATTACTGGTCCTCAAGATCTGGTTACATTCACCCATCCTGTGTAAACCTACCTAAGACATTATACCTGGCTGGTTGATTAAAAGGCCTAAAATCTAGGCAGGGCAGAATGAGGTTGGCGTGGCTAAGGTTTCTGGGCTTTGGGTTCAAAAGAATCACAGGAAACAGGGGAAGAGAGAAAGCAGGAGGATGCCACACGATGGGTTAACATGGAGAAGGAACCATGTGGGCCAGGAGGAAGGTCTTCAAGGATAGCATGGAGGGAGAAAACACCAAGATGAAAAATACAAGCAAGTACCTTGGGATTATGGATGGAAGTAGCCCAGATAGGAATGCTTAAGAAGGATGGCACTGGATGGGGGCTGGGAGATGGATGGTGAGGTTATTGAGACAGTGTACGTAGAATATCTGGCCAGCCCAAGGTACATAAGGCAATTATAAAATCTAACAGGTGCCTGCGTCTTATCTGTGATAGCGGGACTAATAATAACGTTAGATAGCCCAACACTACTTTCATTTACAATAGCAGTTCATTAAACAGGAAGCAAACTTTAGTGACACCCTTACATTCAAACTGCTCAACAACTACAGCTGGCCTGTGCCTGCCAGTCACAGCAAACTACCATTTCCATGGAGGAAAAATGTTCTAACATGACTGCTTTAAGGAGCATGGAAGTGTTTGTCTGCATAAGGAGCTGGGGAAGTCTGGGGACTCCTTATACTCACCCTATAAATGTGGCTTTGAAATGTC